CGAAGCACGCCACTCCTCTACCAGCTCAGTACAGACTGCGCGGTTGTTTTTAAAGGTCCCTATCTATGCCAAAATCCACTTTTCCACTTCTCTGTGTTAACGAGATTCTGAAAGTTTCAGGCAAAAAGATTTGCTCACAACTTTTTGTCCCTGATCCCATCTTATATAAAAACCTGTCGAAAATGCAGCTGATCAGACTTTTGGCCATTTAATGATGTCCATAAAGATTTGGCTTGTGTAACCATACTAGCCAATCACCAACCAAGGTAACACCCCCCCCCCAAACCCTTATCACCTGAATCTCCCTCCTAAGAGCTCCCAATTGTGTTCTCTTTAAACCAAATATCTCTTCTCTGAGGGGCGTGGGGAGAGGGCTCTTAATTTCAATCTAAAGTAACAGACACGAGAATCAGCACTTTTGAAACAGGTGTGAAACAGAGGGAATACGGATGCTGCAATGATCTGTTTGGTATTTCGAGGTAAACACTTCAGAGACATTGTTTTGTATATATCTGATACCTATAATATATGTGATGAAAACACATTATAATAGGATGGAACCTTAAAGGGCCAGCCAAACAGTTAGATACAGGCCGTTTCTCAATGTTGAGTATACCTGCTGCCAAGAGCCACTATTTCAAGTATACTACGTCATCGAGTGGCACCGGAAGGACTGTTTAAATGCCATGGTTAAACTGCCCAGCATTCGGCGCCACTCGATGACGTAGTATACTTGAAATTAGTGGCTCTGCAGCAGGTAATACTCGACATTGAGAAACGGCCACAGACTCTACACTTCTACTCTTCACATTAGCCTCTCCCCCCCTGCAATGGGCCTCCTTGACCCGTCCCCCTCTCTCCCTGCAGCAGCTGTACCTGGGCTCGTATCCTGACGAGCACTTCACAGAGAAACCCCGTGAAGAAGGCCATGGAGAGGTTCAGGAAGCAGCTGGCAGAGATAAGCCTCTCATCAAGACCAGGAACGAAGGGAAGAAGCTGCCTACTACAAACATGTCTCCTGACAAAATCCAAACACAGTGTCGCCGTTTGAGGAATAAAATAATGTCTCAACTTGATATTTTGGCAAAAGCACATTGAAGTTCTGATATTACTGAGCAGTCCATGAATGCGTTTAGAAACTTTGTGTGACCCGAGTGAGGGATTTGATACTTCTTTAATGTTTAAATGCATAATGTGGCTGACATAAAAAGTCAATTGAAAACCTCAAGTTTGCTGATAAACTGTTTTTTGTCACTTATTTGGGTGAAAATTAACAGCAATTAAAATGTTTTGGATTTAAATCAGCAGTTTGTTATTTCTTTCTGCTAATTTCTCGGAATATAAAACTGCAGCTTTTAAACTTTTCATCTAATAATAAGGATGCACCATCAACCTTCTCACATATTTTGTAACTTAAAATCGCCCTGTTCACATTTAAGTTCAGAACAAAAAAAACACAAAGCGTTAAAAGTAACTTAATTTTTAATTGGGTTGTTCTTTTTAATTCTACATACTTGTTCAATAATGGGAAATTAAACTGAAAACACATCAATATTTCTCTTTAAAAACATAAGTACTTTTACCAAATCCTTTACAGTTACTATTCCAAAGTAAATTCACAGACAAACTTGTGGAATGATATCATAAGACAGGGGAAACACTCATATGTTCAAGTCCCAGTCAGTAGTAAACAAATGTAGCTTTTATGCAAGTTACACTATTCCCAGACATTAGAGTAAGGTACATTTGACAGCAGAAATACTGAAAACTTACACTGAGGCTGAGGAAGTATCTTTCATCCTCAGTCCATGTGCTGCTCAAAAAGGATTATAAAATAAAGAAATCCGTTCATGGTTGTAGACCAGGGGTCTCAAACTCAAGGCCGGGGGCCAAAATCGCGCCCGCGACTTCTCTTTATGTGGCCCCGCAAGAGCTTTGCAAGAAATACTAATACACTTTATTATACGCGGTTACATGCCACTTTACAGAAGCAGGCGTTTGCCATAAAACTACATGTCCCACATGCATCTCGCTCTTCTGTGCATGCGCACTGAAGAGACTTGCCCTGGACTTCTGCTTTCAGACGTAGTTACATTACTAAGTTATTATCCTATCCGATAATATCTTCAGTATATATTACATTATTTTATATATATTATATATTTATATAGTTACAACCGGCCCTTTGAGTGCAACCATTATGCGAATGTGGCCCGCGATGAAATTGAGTTTGACACCCCTGTAAAAGAAATAAAAAGCTGCCCGCTGTTAAATGTTAAAGTGGCCTCAAAACTTCCGTCTCAGACTTCATGTAAGGAGCCAGCTCCTATGAGTAGAAAATACAACAAAAAAAGAAGAAGCACAATCTACATCCTTCATTAATCTTCCATCTCAGGGAAAGTAGATATTCCATGTTGTTTCATGTAATACAGGAAACTTTAAAATTTGCACTGCATTTGAATGATTATTGTCTGCATAATTAAAATCATTTCATCAAGCAATCCACATTAAGGTGGAGCAACCAAGCTTTTTAATCTTTCCTATATGTTTTCTAAGCTTATAAGTGAATAACAAAGAGTGAAAGTGATGTTCTGGGAAAAAAACTGTTTGTGTAAGTTGCATAAAATTACTAATGAATTCTTTTTTTAATGAACAAATTGTACTCTGTTTTCTTTTCAAAATAAATACAACACAAAATGAAGAAATAATCATTTCATACCCAGAGGACAACCTGGACATTAAACACCATTACATAACTATAGAATAGAATATCAACAAAAGGGTAATTGCACTTTTTATCTGTCTAATTGCACTGAGCCTTGCGGGGATCGAAGGTTCAGAGAAGCTTCTCGTTACTAGATCTTAATCCAACTTGACACACAACAACTCCCTCGGCTCGTGTTATGTATTTAAAATTATATTAGACTCCAGATCTCAAGTCACTGTGGGGCATAATACACAAGTACAGTATGAATTGTTGCAAAAAACAAAGCGCAGGTTTCATTTATTGCTGCTGCTAATGAGCAGTACTTATCACGTATGTTGTTGGACCATCATTGTTCACAGACAGTATACTGGTATCAAAGATAGTTTTTTAAAAGTGTGTGTGTTGCTGGAATGGCTGTGAGGCTCAACATGAGCCTGGCATCGCTGTGCTCACACATACACTAAAGCACTTACAATGAGTGTAAGCCCAAAACACATCGGCTAGAGAAATCATCTGCTGCCTAGCTCAGACTGCACGTACAGCCTCTCACCAGCAGGCGGTGCTGCAGCTCACTGAGGAGAGACGATGCACCCTGTGTGAGTGCATGCTTTTACTGCCAAATAAATCTCATTGTTTGTTCATGAACCGACCTAATATGTGACACTGATGCAACAATCTTCTTGATGCTGAAATAACGCATTTACAGTATTTAACATGTGCTTCCTTTTATAAATGAAAAAAATGTGTTGGAAACATTTGAATAACATAAGGCCATATTTGTGGCAAACTCTCAAAAAAAAGGGGAGGCGACATGCTGGCTAAAATGGTCACTCCACCATGTGATTAGTCTGGCAAGAAGAAAGAAGACACTTTAGCTGAAACTGAAACTCCAGCTGTCTGAGATGGATGCTAATGCTGCTTTATGTCACAACACAAGCTCTGTGCAGGAGTGTGAACATAACTGGAATTCATTGTAAATATGTAAGTCATGAAAGCTCCTCACAGTTAGTCAGTTTTTGAATCAAATCTATCTATTTGGGAACAGTGGATGCACTGTGGGAGCGATGTGAGGACAGACTGAAAATAGGCAGCTTCAGATTTCTCAGGGCAAATCCCGTGACTAAGCAAACAAATGAACATATTAAAAACTGCACATGGAATATCACACTGTAAATATTGTGTCAACCGCATGATAGAAAAACATGAGCGGCCCTGTTTATGCCCAAAGGCTTTAGTAATGTTCCCAAGACATGGAAATTATTTCACAATTTCCTGTGACCAGTAGAAAATGTTATTTTTTTGTATACATTTCTTTTTTATCATTTAAAAAAAAGTTTACATTCTCAAAGCCTTCAGAAAGTTTTGTTGGGGTAAAGAAGTGATGTGGCTGGATTTTCCATTATCTGCATTTAGAGCGTTGAGCCTGCCTCATAACTCATATTGTCTATTTTGACTAAAACACTCAACCCCCAATTCCTTTTTTCTCATCCATGGGAGGTTAATATACATGTATACTGTATGTGTGTATGAGGAAATGTTAAATAAAACAGGAGTTTGAATGTGCTATCCCCCATGTACAACATATACAGTAAGACTTAATTCATATCAAAGACAGAAAAGAGCGAGAAGAAGGGAGGGGGTTTGTTTTGGGAACTAAAAAAAAACCCAAAGTGCTTCGATGCATGTCCAGATCAAGGCCTGCTCGGAGCCGACAGACCACAACGACACAGATGGCAGTAGCTGGAAAGTTCCAGAGATCCGATGCGTGGCGCTACATACTGATCCACGGGAGGTTAGCCCAACACTCACGGGAGGTAAAAACGAACAAATCCAACAAACCCACGAAGAAAACCACGTATCGGAGACGTGTAGACCTCATGAGCCGTTTGTGAGTCTCTTTGTCTCAGTCCTGCTCGCACATAGGTCTACATGTAAGAGTGTGTGTGTGTGTGTGTATGTGTGTGTGTGTGTGTGTGTGTGTGTGTGTGTGTGTGTGTGTGTGTGTGTGTGTGTGTGTCTGTGTCTGTGTCTGTGTATGTGTATGTGTCTGTGTCTGTGTCTGTGTTTGAGAGTGTGTGTGTGTCTGTGTTTGAGAGTGTGTGTGTCTGTGTTTTAGAGTGGGGGTGTATGTTTTTGAGAGTGTATGTGTGTGTGTGTGTGTGTGTGTGTGTGTGTGTGTGTGTGTGTGTGTGTGTGTGTGTGTGTGTGTGTGTGTGTGTGTGTGTGTGTGTGTGTGTGTGTGTGTGTGTGTATGTGTGTGTGTATGTGTGTGTGTGTATGTGTGTGTGTGTGTGTGTTTGTGTGTGTGGAGAGTTATATGCTCCAGGCCTTTTCATACATTTACAGAAGTCAGTGAAACCAGTTCAGTCCTGGGAAAGGAGACAGGTGGGAGTGTGGATTTATGGTGAAGGAGGAAGGAGGGATAAAGTCTGAGCGGAGGAATGTGGACAGAAGAAGACAGATGTGGTCTAGCCTTCTTTGTTGATGGAGTTTTAGGAATATAACCAGAATAGGACAGGAGGCCAGTCTGGGGTCAGAGGAAGGGGAGTGTGTGGTCGTTCCTCAGAAACCGAGCATTTCTACGATGCTGCTCTTCACTGCGGGCCTGTTTGTGTGTGTGGGTGTAGCATTGGTCAGACGTGGAGCACCTCCATACTGTAGTCCTCTGTCTCTGTGTACTGGGAGGAGTTTGTGTCCGACTGGGTTGGAGCCAGAGCCTCCTTGCTCTCCAGACTGGGCTCCATGAGGGGGGGCTTCTCCAGCGCCAGCTTTTTACACGTTTCGGGGCGGTTCTGCACGTAGATGACCCGGTTGTACGCCTTGAGTCTCCTCCATAGATGGATGTAGACTTTGCACTGGACGTACATGAACACCAGCCCCCCCGTGAAGCCGATGGCCACCACCACCAGCTTGGTCCAGAAAGCCCATTCCAGCATCCCTGAGAAACAGAGGGAGCACAAGAAGAAACACGGACGCCTGTCAAACAAAGACCACACTGAAAACTAATACAGCAAAGTATGTGAACACCACTCGGGAAATAATTGCGTTTTAGTATTATTTTTGCATCAATGTCATAACGTTTCCTTATTAAGATATTCTTTCACTAAATAAAATGTGTTTCTTGTTCTATCGCAGCCTGCAGTGTTTTTATACGATTGCTGTTTCTGCTTTTCAAACCAATATTTGTTTCTTTTTGTTATAATTGATTATTTTACAGACGCACGCTGTTAAGAGTGGAAGTGGATTTTCACACTGTATAGAGGTGTGAAGAAAAACAATATTTTCCTGTCATCTCTCAAATGCTGCTGTCTAATTAAGTCATAAAAATGCCCCCGAAATAATCACATATAACAAAAAGAAACAAATGATTGCTTGGAAAGAGAGAACAACACCACTATAAAACTGCAGATTTGAAGTAAATTGGCCAAACCGTGCAAAATAAAATGATATGGTCCCAGAGGCAGTGGCAGCATTTCTGCAAATTGCAAATCCCTTGAAACATAAGGCTCTATGTAAGAGGTAGAAAACTTGCAATTTGTGGAATCGGAATATTTGTAAAAGGCTGCAGCACTGGGAGGCAGAAAGAGGATCTTTAAAAATAAGAACAAAAAGGAGACAACAAAAAAAGGTCTTCTTTGAAATACACCGCAATCTTTTCAGGCTGGCTGTTATATTTCAGCTTGCTAACAAATATGAACTAAGGTTCACAACTGAATTACTATTTAGATTATGGAATGAGATACAACACATCCTCAAACTTAGTATAATCAGTATGGTTTTAACTAAGCTTATACAGCTGTATGAAGAGAGAGTAACATGTGATTTATTGTGTGAACATATTTCTGTGAGGTTTGTTTTCACTAAGTCACAAAGCACATCACAGAAGATCACAGCGTGTTGCTGTACTCAGTTCTGTCTGCTTTCATTAGATTTGAACATTCAGTGAGATGGTGTGAAAATAACCGGTCATTCATGGTGAAGAAGTATTATATATATCCTGAAATTAAGGCAGACAGAGGAAGGAAAGGGGTGAAAAGTGCAGTTTGAAATGAACTGGACACAGCTGACAAAAAGGCTGACGAGGGAAAACACAATTTGAAAGTTAAAAGGCCAAAGTTGAAATGTTTACCTGGGATTCTTCCGGCTGCATGAGTAAAGAAAGTGTAAGTATCATGTATTACCAAACACACAAACAGATTGATAGAAATGCGCAGAAATTGAAAGTAAAGTCACATTATACAGTTGGATGTTATTCATCATGCAATCATAAACATCAGCTCTGCAAATCAAAGGAGGCAATGGACAACATTTCAGATCTGCTGGTATCTGCACTCGGACTGAGAGAGGAACACCACTCTGTAGGACAGGACAGGACTGGTGAGGAGCTCATTGGCATCACCATGGTGATTGAACCTGACAACCCTGGAGACAGTGACAAGTCTGAATCATCAGGTTGGGCACCGCCTGCTCCTCCATCTGCACGCTGTCTCGGAGGCACCAGATATGCCAGAGAGGAGTGAGTGGCAGCCGAGGTAGAGCCAGCTGAAGATAAACAGCTCCTCTTTAAAGCAGCACCACACTTTGATGATGGCGCCGCCAAGTTGTCCGAACCTCAGAGCTGCTGACCATTTAGGTCAAGATGGACGTTAGGAGAAGCCAAAGCTCTAAAGGCTGCTGAAGGCTTATTCACAACGTTCCAAAAGACCATGATGCCCAACTGACAACGTTACAGTCTGTGGTCAGCATCAGGTTCCAGTTTGGCACTTAGGACAAAACTAAAGTCAGCTATCTTCATCAAGACTCAGAAAAAACAATGTGCCTGTCTGAAGGGATAATTTGGGGTTTTGGGAAATATATAGTTTAACAGCAGCTGTTCACTTTTTGAACGGCTGAGGTCCGTCTTTTTAAATTGCTTCACTTGAATTAAATATTAAGATGTTTGTGTGTTTAGACTTGTGTCCAGTTTTTCAAATCAATATACATGTGCCCAGCTGGTACTAACGGCTGTCACGTTATGATTCAGGACTGTACGTCTGTCACATTTCACACACATACACGGTGATCAGACTCGAGCAAGAATACACACACACAAACAGTTATAAAAGCAACCACACAAACTTCAACACACTTTTATCCTTGTGAGGGCCTTCTGTTGACCTTTAACTTGAGGCAAGCCTTACACACGAAACCCTAATCGGAGCAAAACCACCTGACCTTGCTATAATAACATCACCATGAAAGTCTCAATCTCAAATTGGATCTCAAGAAAGTTAGGACATCCATCATTCTCTTTTATGGCCTACAGGTCTGAAATCTGTGAGTCTATAACAACATACAGAGGATCATCTCTTAAAGAATCTCAGCACACTCTTCTACACATTTGTTCTCGACTTTGATGCCCACTGAGCTGCTGCAAGGGAATTACGCCCACATATACTCCAATCTAAGAGAGCATTTCACACCGTTTGCACTGCTGAAATACCCCTACAGCTATGCAGATTCATCATTAAATACTATACTTAAATGAGCTGGATTGTGGATGAATGGACGATTTCTAACAACACCACATCCAACAGTCAACAACGTTACGTCAATGTTTTTTTGTGTTTGTGTGTGTGTTAGTCTGTGCTGACCGTTTTTGATTTCCTCCGCTGTTCTGTCGATGAGCACGTAGAGCGACCACACCACGCAGGTGATGGCGATGACGTGGAAGGTGACGGAGCATATTATCTTCCTCCTTTCGCTCGCCGTCATCTGTAGCTTCTCCCACTGAGGCACATACAAGGGGGGGGGGTGACAAGAGGAAGGACATTCGAGGAGGTCAACAGTGTGTTCACACAAAGACACAAGGTTGCAGACACACACACTTAAAGCATAGACATTTTTAAACGACAGCTAAAGACACATCTTTTTTGATTAGCTTTTTATTAGCAACCCCCCCACTTTAAATGGCCTTTATTATTGACCTACTTTTATATTTATTTTATAGGTCTTAAAGGGTTTTATCGTATATTATTTATTGAACAGCAACATTTCTTTTTATGTATTTTTTTTTTAATATTTTAATCGTTAAACATTTATTCGAATGATGACGTTTTTATTACTATTATCTTTAAATTTTTATTTATGTTGTACCTTTATGTTGATTTTATTTGATAGGGTTTTATATTGATGCATCTATTCACTTTGTGTCGTATCTTTCTGAGATAAATCATTATTTATTTTATTTTCTATTATCATACCTTTTACCTCCTTGTGTCTCTTAACCTGTTCAAATGTTATATGTGTCTGTAAAGGTTTTAACATCTCATCTGAGGGGAATTTGTTGTTGTTTATTTTTAACTTGTGATGTGTGCCATTTCGTAAAGCACTTTAAGCTGCACGTGATGTATGAAAAGTGATATAAATATAGCTTTATTATTATTAAACTGTTGGCTTTCTTTTCTGGAACATGAGGGTGAGGGAAATATTTGATGGAGGGTGTTCAGCAGCCTATGTTTTCAAGAGCCAATGCTACATTACATGTCTTGCCATGGCGAGTAACACGGATAGGAAAAGATGCTTAGTGTCTGCTCCTGGCTTCACAAAACAGAATCAGGAAATGAGCCCAGCGATACAAAGAAACTAAATAAAATACGATGCCAACACCATCAGTTATTTTAATGGGTTCTATCGCTTTCCCATCATCCCAAATATATTCCTCATGTGTTCAGTGATGAGGATGAGTTTGTATGGAAGCTTGCATACCAGTGCGAGTGCGAGATAACACTTTGCATCCTCTGATAACTTTTCATCCCAACACCAACGTCCTCATCTCCCCTTCGCTCCTCACACGCAGACAACTTAAATCTCTTAGTTGGATTCAGAAGCTATTACCAGCGGAGCATTTGTTTAAGGCCTTTTGTGCAGCTAATGGAGGGTGGAGGAATTTTAATTAATGTCCTGCTATCTCCAGGCCACAGTGATTGATAAGACCCTTTAATGGGAATGCGCTGCCTCCGAAACCTCTTCAAAGCTCCGTGTCATTCTTGTGTTATCTGCCTGACAGATGGGAGGCAGCTATTGGCGTTTTTCCAACTTCATAACGAAGGAGTGACGTGAGCTAAGTTGGGACACTTGGAACAGCCTGGATTTATTAACTGATGTTAAACTGTTGGTGACCGTTAATACATTACAATACATTACATTGGATTTAGCTGACACTTTTATCCAAAGCGACTTACAATAAGTGCGTTCGACCAACAAAATACAAACTTGAAGAAAACAGAATCATATAAGTACATCAGGTGTTCATAGAGCAAAAACATTTGCAAGTCTACTTCAAACTGGCTTATAGATAAGCCAGAGTCCTTATAGTATATAAGTGCTTTGTTAATAGTTCTATAGTACCAGTTGCTATNTAAAAAGTCTTAAATATGACCAAAAAAATAAGAAAGGTCTTAAATATGATTTAGAAGGTCTTAAAAATGATCGGATTTGAAAGGTACTTCTGTGTTGCGATAGCTCGCAACACAGAAGTACCTTTCAAATCCGATCATTTTTAAGACCTTCTAAATCATATTTAAGACCTTTCTTATTTTTTTGGTCATATTTAAGACTTTTTAAGGCCTTAAATTCATATTATCATATTTAAGACTTTTTAAGACCCCGCGGGAACCCTGAGTATAATTTAGTGAGTAGTTAACAAGACTTTAAGTCATGTAAAATCCCCAAGTATTGTATTAACTGACATGTTTTCACATTGGAAGGAAAGTGCACATTTCCTAAGCTTGTGGTAACCACAGCCCTTATTTCAGGTATTTTACCCAAAACCCATTGACTTTAAAACAAGGAAACCTTAAAGGTAGGGCAGGTAAGAACGGAGAAACCAGCTGGAGTGCGCTAGAATTTAAAAGTACACAACTGGAAAAAAAATCTGCCCTTTCCTTTAGACTTCCTTAAAGAGCCCCTCCTCCAACACACACGAGCGCGCACATGACCAATGAGGGCACGAGATAAGTTTGTGCACGAGATGGAAGGCTGACAAGCAGGTAGGCCATCCAATTATCTACCACGGCCGAGGCAGATAATTGGACTTGCTTTTTATAGCGCCACGGCTTCAGCAGATGAAATATTTGAATATATTTATTGTCAAAGCATTTCATTTATTCATTGCTATCGGGATGTTAACAGCATTCCATGGAATATAACAAAAAGTGTTTCTTAAGTGAATTACCTACCCCACCTTTAAGTGTAAAAACCCCGGCTCATTTTCCAGTTTTAGAAAAGAAAAAAATAATAATTATCTGTAAATATGATAACACAATGAAAAGGATATTGCTAAGAAAATGCTCGCAATCTTAATATTTTTTTATCAGCACCTTAAAGACCCATGTCTTTAATGTAAACATAGTATTTTGATCCACACTCACCCCCTGAGTTCTGCATATCTGACCAGTATCCTGGCATAACAGCCGTTTTTGCTGAACTTTCTTATTGGCATGTGGGAAAAGATTTTAGAGTAACAGTTGTTGAGCTTATTGAGCATGATGATATCTGTGTGAGGGTTGCCTCTCTTCTCCAGGTTCGTCAGAAATGCCCAACACGACTCAGGAGAGTTGGTATTGACCACCTGGTCAAAGTTGAAGGTAACATCTGGCAGGGAAAAACTCAATGTCATTAAAAAACTCAATGCCCAATATTCATAGAGCTCTACAAGTTATACTGGACTATCAAAAGAGTGGTGCAGGAATGATTTCTTAAATCCGGGGACGAGAAACGCCATTGCCACAAAAATTAGCCACCTTTAGCTTAGCGGGGATCCCTAAAGTCATGCGTGATGTAGTTTGTTTATAACCTAATATTAGCTATTGACTTCTGGAGAAACATCTACGCTTCAACTATTATATAAGTGTCTTGTGACACAGAAAATTAGTAAGTATTATAAATGTGTGTTTGCCACAGATCTTATTTTCTGTAATATCCCCAAATTCTCAGGATAGTATGACTCATTGCTTTTAGATGAGGTAGCCCTTGCGATGCTAACTTTCCGGTTACCCTACCAAAATACGTAATCACTGCTCCACTCTGTAAGCTGCAGGACATTTAGAATCCATTACGTCACATTATTAAGGTTTTAAAGTACCATCCATTCTGGAGGTGTCCCTGGTGCTGTGCGTGTGAAGCAGTGTGGTGGTGGAGTCCACGGCTACCTGCTCCTCCCAGGTCTGCTCCGGGCTGACAGCTGGTGGCTAAGAACACAGCAACACAGGAGAGATATATTACACTTCTGTCTTTGAGTCAGGCTGGATATCTTCAATTCTGACATTTCTTGATCAAACCTACTGGAGCTCATTTATACTCACTTTAAAGAATAAACTGTCTCCATCGTATGCATTTTTCATTGATGATGAAATCCCAAAAAGGGGGTTCACATTTGAACCAGATGCTTGCCTAAAACGAAATTAAGACAAGTTAAATATATAACACATACAACAGTTGAAATTCATTATAACACATGCTTTAAAAAAAAGTATGCTTTATGAACACAAAAATGCATCCTGGGTTCAATGTATTGCAAATTGTTTGATTTAAAAAGAAAAAAATCATATTAATTTTGGAAATAAATGCTGTTATAAAGAATTACCTGGACAAACTGGAGTAGATTGATGAATCCGTTTTCCTTAAGGGCCTTTCATCGATGGAGTCATCATCTTTTTCTTGGATAGAGGAAGGTACCACGGGAACTCTCCCAAGCTGTGAAAGAAAATAAATCAACAAAACTTTAAGGACTATTTGGTCATTCATTTCATGCAATATTTGAAAAATAAAAAGCCTGGTAAAGTGGGATGAAAGGAAACTCTCACCATGTCAACTGCTCTCTTGCGATGAGATCCAGATCTCCATCCTGACAGCTGCTCATCTGAGGATCCACAGTGTTGCTCTGTCCTGCACAGCGTGTATCAACATGATGTGCCATACTCCCTCAACCAAACAGAGGGCTAATTAAATGTTAGAAGTAATGTCAAATTGTTCTTACCCTGAACCAAAAATGCTGGAGAGCTGTAAATCGCCTGTGCCGTCTGATGTTCTGTACACTTTCTGGAATACTGAGCCTTTTTGGACCGCACTGTGTACATTACTGCTGGACGACACTGGCAGAAAGAAAACAGCAAAATGTGAAAATCAAGCAATAAATTATGATATGATAATACTGTATTGTAACAGCTTTCTACTAAAGACATATCATGAATTAACACTCACATGGTAGATTTTCCTTGTACTCTGAACAGTAGAGTTGTGTTTTGCCTGACTGCATGCTTTTCAACGCAGCCTCCAGCAGTTCCTTCGGTTTGGCTGCCAGTTGAAGAGCATTCTGCAATATGTAAATGCCTCTCTTTGTGTTGCCTGGGAACATGATACAGCAGACACTGAAATACGCCATATAAACACGCCATTAGTGTGTGGTTATATGTACTTGAAGGTCATACAGCCCTACCTTGAGAATGTTCAAACTGTGCATGTGCAATGTGAACAAATGCAAAGTTTGGGCAGTGAGATCGCGCCAAGTTGAAGTTAGCTTCAGCCTCATTCGCCTCCTGAATTCTAAAAAAAGGAAAAGAGGACCAACACATGAAATGCTTATCCTACTGCTCTTTATTCTATTTAATGAAAACCAAAGACTTAAAGAAGAAAGAGGACAAAAGTCTTTGATTGGTTTCACGATTAATGACATTTGATCTAAATGGCCCAGTGCAATATTTAAATCACATGATGTAGAACTTTTGTTAAAGGCAAAATGTGTGTTAAGAAACACTTGTATTAAGTATTGTGGAGCGGCAGAGATATCTAGTGACATCACTATGTAACACTTGCGTTTCTATCAGTTAGTGTTCCAAAACATTGCAGTGATAGAGATGTTCCACCCCTTAACCTAAGCAGTTTAAAACACAACAGAGCCGGATTTGCAATTCATTGTCTTTTCCCAAATCCTGCAGCCCCAGGCTTTGATATAAAAATAATAACTTGGTGACTCACGCTTTTAGTTCTGCAAATCTGACCAACATCTTGGCATAGCTCTCATTCTCACAGTGTTTTCCCAGTGGCATATTGGAGAATACTCTGGTATAAAAGTCAATAAGTCTGGTGAGGTGGTTACGATTCATGTGAGGGTCTCCTTTCTTCTCCAGGACCAGCAAATATGAGCGGCATGATTCAGGTGAGTTAGAGCCAATAACCTGGTTAATATTGTCTGTGTTATCTGCAAAAAACACAAAGTGATGATGACTTTTTGAACTATGGACACATGGATAATGATGTAAATGGCTCCCACAGAGATCGGACTGCTGAGCATTACCTTCATCGAGTTCATTTTTTATTTTGTTGATCCTTTGATATAGCATGGCAAACTGCTGCTTTCTGTCTGTGTGCTCCTCTTCCATCTGAACATGAGGGGTAGATCCATAACATTAGCCCATATGCGATACACACCAAACGCCGTTGAAAATAATGATGATTTAATTATGTCGTACTTTGAATGACGATGTGCCAAAGTGATACACATGGCTATAAAAATTCTTTGCGAACAAATAACGGTAAGACAACTCAAAAAATGCAATTGTTACGTTAACACAATGACATACCTACCGTTTCGTGCATCTCTTTATTAGCTTTCTTATATATACACCCATGTAAGTGTGCTTGCAAGCAAGAAGTAGTAATACAATTGTATATTAAAAAAAGATTATTGGACACTGTATTTCCAGTAGAAAAATAATACGCTCTTTCGTCTTTTACAAGAAAGTTAGCTCAGGTAGCTAGCATGCTATAACATGTTGTTAACGCTGTTGTTAACGATCGCCGGGTTTAGCAAATAGGTTCTGCTATGGCACATACAAAGTTACACACATACATTTGCATCATTGTTAATGGTAAATAAATATATTTCAAAGCTTCTTACCGTGTTTATGCTGTCAATAGCATAGGTCAATAGTCACGTTTCACTTAGAGCAAAATAAAAACCTCGCCTTCAACTGCCAGTATTCAAATTCACCGCTTCCGTCCTAGCTGGGTGATGATTGGCTAGTTCGTGGTGACGCAGCGCTACAGTCTTCTTCTTCTTTGTTGTTTATTGGCGGTTGGCAAACCAACTTGTAGGTGCATTACCGCCACCAACTGGACTGGAGTGTGGACAAGAGACTGCAGAAAACAATAAACAAAATAAATCAAATCAAATCAAAGAACCAAAACTCTAGATTATTTTTAAATGTATCAATTTCTCTTAGAAACAAAATAATCTCACAACACATATTGCCTGATGTTTTCCCTAACAGCCCTGATAGCGAAAAGTCATGGTATTTTGCTTTCTTCAGTGTCTGGAAAAGCAAATTTCTCTGAGTAGGCCTACTATATTTGATGCAATGCAGTAAAACCATAGAGTAAAACATGTTCAACAGTTTCTGGCTGGCTACAGTGTATACACTTTCCGGTTGGATGCTTTCCTATTATACTTAATGTATGATTGAGACCTGTATGACCTATTCTATCCGAGAAATGACATTTTCCTCCCTTCTTTTAAACCCTACCTTCCTTCCACCCCCCACTAGGGCTGTCCCGAATACCATTTTTCGGGCTCCGTATCACTAAGTCAGTCCAATGTTCTGGACCATGTTGTTTGTGCAATTTCTCGTATGAATGTTTTACCTCTACCGCTTGCTAAAATGGGAACTTCGTTCAATTCGAGTGTTTGTTTGGCCAGCAACTTCATTACCTCTGCCCCATGATCCATGCCTTTTGCTTTTTATCAAATTTATTCATTTTTATCCATTTAAATGATGTCTTCTGATCGCTATACTTCGTAATGCTGAAAGCTGTCAAGATTCAACTTACATTATTGTTTTCTTTCTCCTCTACCATTTACACAATGGCAGTACCAATGCCACAATTCTGTGGGTGTTAACTGACATGGTCTGTTACCCTTTTTCTTTATATGTATCATTACTCACTGGGATATAAACTGCTCCCCCTGCACGGCCCTGTCTCTGGACTTTTGGAAGCATCTGGTAAATATATTGTTGAGTCTGAGTTAATTCTTGCAAGCAAAATAATTACTGGACTAGCGCCATACTGGTTAGTAGTTCTTTATTAATCCTTCACTCTTTTTGATATTTGAGGTCTACACTGGCATTGGGATCATAACCAGGGTGGAATGGACCGAAGATTGGAACTGTGGGGCAATATTGTATTTTATTCAAACCAAATACTGGCTTTTGGGCTTTAACCATCACCAATCCATCAAACTTGATTAAATGTGAACTCATTGTGCTCCAGGCAGTCTTTCAAAATACTTTTCGCAGGATGACTACTCACAATGCCCCTGAAGGTGTATGCCCAACAATTAACTTCCACTCTTCTTAAAGCGCATTTCTCCCCCTTTAGCTTGTCGATACTGGAGGATGATTTGAAAGATCCACTACATATTCTCAGGGCCTGAGGCTTGTAGGAGAATCCAGCTTTTAAGGGTTTGATTCTGGCTGCTGCCAGAACGCGAAACACCCATAATCTAATACAAGGTCTCATGAGTGCCCCAATATATCGTTCTGGTAGTGAAATGACCTACTCACTCCCCACGTCCATATCCCGCAACACTGAGTACATTATTGACTTTTTACATTATTTTGAACTTTTACCTATCATGATTTGCTCCATGTTAGCTTTTCCTCAAACCAAAACACAAAGGAAATCTTATTATAATTTCCTGGTTCAAGAGGTTGCTATACAATTTTAACTGATATTAGGAGGCCAATTTTATGCGTTTTGTTAAAACAAATGACCTGCGTTTCATACTGACAGTTTGAAATCCCCACTTTGTTTGTCCATTTCTCACTTCAAGCTATTGCAGCTTGTATTTTCTTTCAACCATGTGGCTACATTGCGGCCGTTTTGCCCAGCAAAATGCGCCATCATCTGCAAATAGAAAGATTTTCCCACACTTGGATGAACTTGATTAAAATGTCATGTAATAATTATATTGAACCAGCAAACGGACATACACTACCTTGCGGACAGAGATGGGTCGTTTACTAATTTTTTTTAAAACTATTACATATTACTTTAAAAAAAAATATATATTACAGCTACTTCGTTATCATCTACATAAAACTCGGTTATTTTACTCTTACTTTACTCGCCTAGCACTTACGAACTGCGCATGCGTGAGTGGCATACTCTCCATTACCAGCAGGCGGAACGTAGTGGTGTATTTGTCATTCAAAACAGGCAACAACCGGAAAACAGAGACAGAAATAACAGACTACGTGGATATAAAACAAAAACAAATAGCGGTGCGTTAGCTTCACCTTAGTGCAATGGGTTCTTTGCATGGTGGTTTGTTGAGGTTTGACTATGGGGTTTGACGTTGAGGTGTTTACAGCAGTGAGGATAACAGCTTCTGGCCTAGGACACAGTTTGGAGCCTCACCGGTCGCAACTTCCTGTCTATTCTCGGACGAACTCAAAATAATGGGCATACCTCCACCCCTCGAAAGTTATTCGCTGATCAGCGCCATGTTTATGCAGCAGCTGACGTGGACGATCATGTGGGACACGCAAATCAGCGCAGATCGCGCAGATACGTGATTAGACCTGCGGCTGGGAAACCCCTCTTGTCTGGTCAGTGTCTATTATGAACTGATTTGAGTAAGTACGAGAGTAGACGCGTGTGGAGGCAATGTTAGTAACTGTAGGTGTTGATTACTGAATTATAAAAGTTGGTGTTACCGACAAAGCTTAGGTTATCCGGACCAAAAGTAATGTTATTACAGTAAGCAGTTCTTTGTACATTCATGTACTTTGTTACTTTGTACGGCCGTTACACCCAACTCTGCTTGGCGAGTACCATTTTCCACGCATAACAATTAATATTCTGCACCGTACTCGTGTGGGTGGTGTGTGGTTCTTGTCCAGTAAAAAATTCATTACACAATTACAGTGGAGGAAAAAAGTATTAGTCAGCACCAATTGTGCAAGTTCTTCCCACTTAAAAAGATGAGAGAGGCCTGTAATTATTCAAATCCTAGGTATACCTCAACTTATGAGAGACAAAATGAGAAAAAAAAATCCAAGAAAATCACATTGTCTGATTTTTAAAGAATTTATTTCAAACTTACTGGTTGGAAATAAGTATATTGGTCACTACAGACAAACAAAAATTCTTGGCTCTCACAGGGCCTTGTAACTTCTTTTTTAAGAGGCCTCCTCTGTCTCCACTTGTTAACTGGTATTACATGGCCCTGTTTGAACTCGTCTATCAGTATAAAAAAGACACCTCTCCACAACCTCAAACAGTCAACTCCAAACTCCACTATGGCAAGACAAAGAGCTGGTCAAAGGACACCAGAAACCAAATTGTTAGACATGACCAAGCTGGGAAGACCTGAATCTTGCAATAGGTAAGCCAGCCTTGGTCGTGAAGAAAATCAACTTGTGGGAGACAATTATTAGGAAAACTGGAAGCATACAAGACACTGTTAATCTCCCTCGATGTGGGAGGCTCCATGCAGATCTCACCCGTGGCGGTCAAAATGACCCACAAGGAACAGGTGAGCAAAAATATAACCCAGACCACCACGGACCTAGTCAATGACCTGCAGAGAGCTGGGACCCAAGTAACAAAGCTTACCCATAACAACTACACCGCAGACTCAAATCTGCAGTGCCAGCGATGTCCTGGCTTAAGCCGTACATGTCCAGACCCGTCTGAATTTGCTAGAGAGCATTTAGGATGACAGAAGAGGATTGGGAGCATGTCATATGGCTCAGATTGAACAAAATAGAATTTTGGTAACAAACTAACTAAAAATAGACGTTTTTGGAGGAGGGGGAAAAAATAAGAATGCTGAGTGCATCCCAAAGAACACCAATACCTACTGTTGAAACATGGGGATTGGAAACATCAATGCTTTGGGGCTGTTTTTCTGCAAAGGGACCAGAACGACTGATCCGTGTAAAGGAAACGAATGAATGGGGCCATGTATCGTTGAGAATTTTGAGTGGACATCACCTCTTCACATCAGCAAGAGGCATTGAAGGATAGAACAATGGCCACTTGGGTCTTTTCCAGTGATGACAATGATCCTCCGAACACATCCGCCCGGCAGAGGAGTGCTTCGGTAATGTGGCTTTCAAGGGGTCCTGTGAGTGGCCTAGCCAGTCTCCAGATCTCAACCCCATAGAAAATCTTTGTGAGGGATGTTGAAATGTCCGTGGTTGCCCAGCGACAGCCCCAAAACATCACTGCTCGTAGAGGAGATCGCATGGTAGGAATGGCAAAATACCAGCAACAAGTGTGTGAAAACTTTGTTGAAGACTTACAGAATAACGTTGGACTCTCGTCATTGCCACAAAAGGAAAAAAGAGAGAGGTATGAAACCATAATGAATAATAAATTCTTACAAGGACATGTATTTTCTGGATATTTTTCTCACTTTGTCTCTATATGAAGTATTATTTGAATTATTTGAAGTATTAAGGGGGGGGTAACGTTGTTATGGCAGGAAAGTTAATCTTGTATATATTGTATGTTCACTTTTATTCGTGGTGTTAAATTTGAAATACATTTATTACTCATTTAAATTAGAGAGGGCTTTTATATATTCCTGAAACAATGTCCCTATTAGTATAATAATAAATTAAAGCAATAGTCTTTTCTCCACTTTTCATGTGTAGTCGAAAAGTTGGTTTTATGACTTTGACATCTGCTTTGCAGTTCAGGTCAAGGAAGGGGCCATGAGTCCTCTAGAGCTTCCTCTGCTAACTTTGCTAAAACCCGTTTTATTAGCCCAAAGGGAGATGTGCCTCAGATACAAGACAGTCAGAAGCCTTGTAGAATTAATTAATTTATTCTCTACAAGACCCCTAAAGAGGGCCTTGGAGATTGAATCAAAAAGTTACGAGGCAATAGTCTTTTGTTCTCATAATGATGTCTGTATTCATTCCGTAAAACGGACTTGATGTTAAGGAAGTTCTAATAGGGCCTTAAAGCTACCAGAACAATTACATTTCTGTTAAATCGACCAAAACATCACATGACGTGGTCAGGGGGACAGACATTCGGAGCCTATAACAAGTGTCACTTCATGAGGAATATGTGCTGGTATTCCTTACTCGTGATCATATGTCCTTGTATAATCATTTATTCAACTATTCTGTTATGGGGTTTTATTTGATTCCTCTGTTTTATTTCTTTCATGCAGTGGTGCACTAGATGGCTACAAACATTGTGGAGAAACTTAGCTTAAACTATGTTTTATTACTTATATGAAATGGAAGTAGCTTGTTATTGATAGGGGACGACGAGGCTGGGGAGGCGGCATTCTTCTTGGAGATTTTCAGCATGTCAATGAATCAGGGAAAATCTACTTGTTTTTTAATGATGGGTGTGGTTGATTTACTGTATTAAAAAAAGCGTATGTGTAAAAGAAGTTGGAAATGCAAGTAAACCTTTTTCTGGGAAATAAATAGATTTCTGCAGGGAACTATTCGTAAAAGAACTATAGGCTCATGTCTGGTAAAGAGCTCAGGTAAATGAGTGTGCGGTACTTTTTAATGCTGGAGATCAGAGCTGATGTTTTCTCTGTTATATTGTTTGAGGTTAAGGTAACTCACATGTGTTAGTTTGCCAGGGGTGCACCCAAACTTTCTCATGTGAGGTACTCAGGATGAGTACCTGAGTCACTG